GAAGGTATATTTAGCCAGCAATAGAGCTGAGGGGCTTATGCATGCAGAGTAATGAGCAAACACGGCACAGAGGGGGATTTAGTATGTGGGAGCTGAYTAAAATGGCATGACTCAGCCATGGGAAATGTCTGTATGAAGAAAGGGAATCCACAAAAGCCAGTAGGCATTTTATCCTCTTTTCTCATGAACGTTTTCCACCTAACAAGTTTTTTTAAGGATGTTGCTTCTTGTGTGAAATCTACAATTCAAGCTATAGTTTGCCGTCTTTGTGATCATTTTTTTTTTAGCTTTTCCTTCTACTGTTTAAACAATGATGTCCACTACTGTGCATGATTTGTGCATACAAAACCTTGCACAAGTCTAATGAACGTGTTTCTCTCTTCATTTATCCTTCTGTTGTATAACATGAACAGAAGCTGGGGTGTTTTACCTGAAAGATCCCATGCAAAAAAGACCCACGTTAGCTTTATGCTATTGTTCAGAACACTCATTTTCTGAAAAGGCTAAATATAAAAAAGTGTTTAAACAAACCTAGAAATATTTCACCATCTTCAGAAAAGAAAAAAAAATGCCGTCACATCTGGTGGCAAACTGAAAAATTATTAACCTTTTCTGCTGCCTGCAATTTCCTCAATTGGTTCCCAAGGTGTACTCAAGAGACCAGACAAATCAAGTGGAATATGTTGAGTCAGCTGAGTCCTCTGTAACAGAAACATATTTTTTTTTCCTTCAAGGTTATTTTGTTTTGATCATCTACTGCAGAGTCCTCAGTGTGGATCAAAAAAAAAAGCTGTCTTCACAGCAACCATAGTTTAGAAAGCTGCTGACCTGACTTCAGGCTCAGCCCCTGAGTTTCCTGGAAAGGATAGGTGTTATCTCTGAAAACAAGGATTGAAAACAGAATTTCTCTCTGAATAATTTTGAGATGATGCTTAGAAAACAGATCAGTTTGCAGCTGTATTAGCATCTTCTATTTTTCACTTGGAAAACCATTATTTGAAAAGTCAGTGCATATGCTGGGTGCATCTCCACAAACTGATCAGCATTGAGGGAGTTAACATAGCCAGTGCAACAGTATTTTCCACTTGCTTACTGTGTTGCTGAAATCTGTTGCTGCAAGGTCAGAAAATGTGAATAAGAGGCTAACAGGGCTGCCTACACCACTGAAGGTTACCTCTGGGTGAATGGCAGTAGAGGGAGGAATTTTTGATGTGGGGAGTAGAAGTGAAATGTCTGTATTAGAAAGGAAGCAACACCTTGTAAAACTATAAAAGTAGCTTAAAATAATACGGAATAGCATTTTTATTGAGGAAGTGAGATACTTTACTGTCACACTAATGGTGCTATAATCCTCTTTCTGCCCTAAGGTTGACTTAAGTATTTGACATACAAATGTTAGGGAGCAAATCAAGTTGGTTACTGATTCACACTTACTTAAACAGGCAAAGTGGGAGGTAAGGGTTGCTTGCCCTCTCTAAGTGAAGTTAATGTCTGTCTTCCTTGCTGCCTGCACTGACATTGCTCTGCTTCTAACTGCAGCACTGTAATCTCTTGGATATGGGAGATATTCACAGAAACGTTAATGAATGCCCTTTCTCTAGGAAAAGTCTTTGTTCCTGTGTCACCAGCAGCTAAAAAAATGAACATTTTACTCACCTGAAAAACTGAGATTGCACAGATCTTTGCAAAGTTGATAGGATTTTAGGATAGTGGCACTGGCTGGATTGCACCCACCCCATCCTTGCCCTTTGGGGTTTCTGTTGCTGTATCMTTTTATCCCTTTTCCATCCTATTTCTTCAGAGTCATGACTTGTAGGGCCAATACCTCCACATTTCTGCAGTGAACATGCCAGACTTGATCTAGATCAGTTCTCTTCCCTCTATCAATCACACATGCATGCATCTGAACAATTAGGCATGGAAATACCTTCAATTTGGTGTGTTTGCTGGCAAGACAGCATTCCCTGGAGCATATAAAGCCACCTCACTGGTAAATGTGGTTGTGGACTGCTGGCTGAACTTGCTCCTCACAATTTATTTATGCTTTGAGGCTGGCAGTGCAGAAGTTCAGGGGTGAAAGGCCYATTTACAGTGGTTCTCCATGTATTGCTCTTACATATGTAATTCATGTTTTCTGCTTAAGGTGCCATGTGCAGTTTCTCTAGGAAAAGGTCCCACCAAGTCAAACCATTGGCTCCTTAATCTCCCTACAATTGAATGTTTAATTATGAAGTGATAATTTGTACCCGCTCATTTTAAAGCCAAACAGTGTGCAATACCATGCGCTGGGCAGGTTCTTTGCATGCTCTCTAAGTCCCTGCTTATATTACTGGCATAAGAAAATAAAAATCTACTACAACAGGATGATAATGTGAACAAATATGTAAAAGTAAGTAACATAAAGAGTGGAGAAAAGGTGTCAGAAAAGGTGTCCACTGGGATGACTCTTTAAACAGGTTAGAGAACTGAGGGGCTGCAGAACACCTGTTTCCAGCAGCAGGCACTGCAGGGGAGGTCTGCCTTGGTAATAGAAAATCATGTGGAGCAAGAGAAAGCAAAGTGGTGCTTCTGTTCAAGAGTAAGGTCTGAAGCAGATGAGAACAAAACAGTAGTGAGATCTGAAACAGCACTCATTCTGAAAAACCTCACTCTGACCAATTTTCTTTGGTTTCACAAAACCTTTGTGCTTAGGAGTCATACCAGGTAAAAGGGTTGTATTTAGTAAATCAGCATATTAAAGTGAGTTCCCAGAAATGCATTTACTGGCAACTGGTCTTAAAAAATCAATGTGATCTRGTAATCTCTTAAGACCTTGACAGCTGCCTTACTGCAGCATTACCACTCTCTGGGGAAATAATTGGAGAAATGAGGGGACCTCATGAGGGGACAGTAGAGGAAACTGTYTTACAAAGAGGGGACAGTTTACAGGGAAAGGAGTAATTTTAATGTAGATCCTAGCACACCAAATGCAGAGTGTTTTCCATCCTATTTTAGRAGTTCAAGTGGCATGTAGCTTTGGAAAGATAAAAGGAAACCTGTATTCTCCGGCATTACTGTGCGCTTGCTCAACAATCATGAAGTCATGTCCTAGACCAGAGGCAAAGAGACATCCATGGGATAATGCAACACCCAACTTGGAAAATGCTGATTCCAGACAGGATCTAAGGACCATTCCATAGAACTGAGAAAGTGCTGCAGCACAATCCCATTGCAAATAGCAATTGCAAAGCTCTTGAATGAATGAAAGGAGCACAGTGTCGCTACATCTGTAGAAACTATTAGACAGCTATTGTAATATMGTGCTGCTTTTAAATAAGGATGTTGGAAAGCCTGAAAGATTCAGCAGTGGACAAGAATGATTCATGGTATGGAAAAACATGAGTTGTAAAGAGCAGTTACATTTCATTTCATGAAATTTAACAAATGTAGGTTTAAACATAACTTAGACTTTGGCTATAATTACCAATGCAAAGACAGTTTTTCTAGTATTTCAGCACTTTCTAGTTATGCTATCATCATGGAAAACCCCTGCATTGCAACACTGATCTCTTTGCTCAAGAGGTGCAGTGGGTCCTGACCAGACTTGGTGCTGTGGAAAAGGCTGATCTTGAGTGTATATTGTCAGAAAAGTGGTTGACACCGTGGGTAATATGAGAGACTTAATATTGCTGACTTTGGGAACTTCACAGATGTTTTTTAAGGACTCCAACCCTAATATTCCTCAGGGTCTATATTGTAAGAAATGAGAAAGACACATCTGCAATTGCATTCAGCATAAGTTCTGAAGGTGCCAAATTAGGTGAATAGCCCTTTTCAGAAGAAAGCTGTGTCACCCTGTGTGATTGGAATGCACAAGTAAATTAAAGGCACTTTTACTGACTTTGAAGAAGCAGTCTGAAAGGTGAATTTTGTAGTTCTAGAGCTATTTTTAAACTTATAAATCTCTGGATAAGCTTGCTTCCCCAGAGCTGCTGGTAGCAGGAAATAGCATTATGTGTTCTATTGCCTGAGCAGTAATCAATGTCCTSTGTGTAGTACCCCTGCCATGCTAGTCAAAACAGACAGAGTAGTTGGAGGGTCTTCCTCCTTGAGGAATTACTCGAAGAATCTACCAGATACAAAAATTCTACCAGAATCCTCCAACAGCAATTACTTTAGTCTGAAACTRTTAGGAAACAGAAAATCTCAAAATTCAATAATCTGTCTGTTTAATATGAGACATAAGTTCAGCAGAACAGTTCATTGTGATATGAAAAAACATCCTAGGTACTTGTGAGTTCCGGATAAGATTCCTCACTATGTCAAGTTTAACRTTACAGGAGATGCTTTCTCACGCCTGCAGTGATGTACTATTCAGGGTATGTGGGCATTACTTTGTATGAACCTTAATGAAGGTGTGGAGGTCCCACAACAAAAAATGTCCTCAATTAAGGGGGAATTGTGCTACCTTTAACCAGATGGAAAGCTTTGGCTGGCTTGAGATAGCATTTCTCCCACAGCCAACAACTCTCTGAGGCTGTTCACTGTTCACCATCCTGCTGCCATTTACCCTCCTGCTCACCTAGTGGTTGCCCCAGAAAAGTATCAGAAAGCACACTTTGGTATTTTTTAAACCATGAACTGCAAAATGATCTGCAACAGGGCTCCAGGCATGGCTATAAACGTCATGCTTCAGCACATGGAAAAGCATTCCTAGCAACAGCCATGCAGATTTTTTCCTGCAGGAAGTAGAGAGCAAGGATCTCCTCACTGCTGTTGACTAAACATGTGCTGTCCATATGTTGCATGCATCAGCTAGCTGGGGCCAAGAAAAAGCTGTGATAGCTCCAGCTTGATTTTTCTTCTATTCACAATGGGGAGTGTWTCATGGGTGCTGAATTAAAGAAGAAGATAAACAAAGAGAGAAGCAGCCRTGCAGGGGTGAAGCCATTTCGGAAGTGATGGTGGTAATTCAAYAAATCTTTAGTGACGGCTTCAGGCTTCACTTCCAAGACCTTTATTCTTCCAAGCAAAGTTTATTCTTTCACATGATGGACTCTGTTAACCATACACACACAAAGTTCTTGTATAACTAACCTGAACCTTTGACTTTAAATGCTCTGCCAAATCCTTCCCAAGCCCCCTTTCTCTTGAGGTAGAAGATACACTTATACTCAGTAATGGAGCAAAACAACAACAATGTAGAAGATTTCTCCTTGAATGTCTTTTCTGTCACTCCTTGTCAGCCAAACAGATCTGATGCCCTGGTGTCAGATGGGGATAAAGCTGGCACAACTCTGCTCTTCTCAGGTGTGTTTTTGGGACTGGTGGGGATCACTTTCACCGTGATGGGGTGGATAAAATATGATGGCATTACTCACCTGGAGTGGACTCAGTTACTAGGGCCTATCCTGCTGTCTGTCGGGGTTACTTTTATTCTGATTGCTGTTTGTAAATTTAACATGCTCACATGCAAACCCTGTAAGGAAAGAGAGGAAAATACGTCGGAACTTGACCAGACTGCGAGTGGACAGTCCTTTGTCTTCACCGGCATTAACCAGCCTATAACTTTCCATGGTGCCACAGTGGTGCAGTACATCCCTCCGCAGTACCGATCCCAGGAAGGAGCGACTGTGAGTCCCGGCTACCTTCACCCAGTGCTCAGCTGCTGTGCTGCTGTTCCCTCCAGCACCTCGCCCATTCTCACCCCYGGTTCTCCTCACTTCTGTCCTGCCTATCCCCTGGATAACCTGGCTTTTACTGGAGATGAGAACTACACTACTTATCCTGCAGAGAATACCAGGAATCAGAGGTATGTTTTCTGAAATGCCGTACTGTGTTTGGACACAGGCTTCTGAATAATTTAAGTATTATGTATGGTTTCATAAGAAACTAAAGCTAGTCCAGGGTATTATCCTTCCTGAGCCTTTTTTTTTATTTTTTTTGTTATTGTTAGGAATTCTTCTTGAGTAAGGAGTAAGCAGATATACTTTTCCTGGAAAGTGTTTTTATACACTTTAAAATCACCTATAAATGCCTTTCAATCGTCAGTCAACTAATCTCTTGTTACTTTTTAAGATATACATGCTCTTGTTTGTAGACGTTTTTTATGCTTGTCTTACCACCTTTAGGTTATTATGTGTACAGCCAGAGACTTCCACTCAAACACAATCAGAACACACAAGTCAGCACACAAACACCATTTCTTCAACAATTCAAGAATCACTCTGGTACCAGATGCTCCCTCCTGAATATGCCTGGTCACAACATGTTCCTCTCCTAATGTAACAACCTTTCAACCCTTCCTCTTTTCCTAGTTTTAAGGCATAATCAATGTCGCTGCTGTTGCACAGCAGTATGAAACTGCTCAAGCTGTACACAAAATAATTTTATATAGCTCTTTCCTCTAAGGAAAAACATTCTAATTCTAGGAATTATTCCTAATTATATCCTATTATTCCTAATTATATCCTTTCTAGAGCATAAGTCATTTTTCATTCATTTCTCAAAGTTTGCTTGAAAAATTACTGACTGACCCCTTGTCCTCAGCAGCAAGGGTGACATGCATAGGAAGGGTGAAGACAAAGGTCACCTCCTGGCACTTTTAAACCTCGGGGRAAAAAAAAAMCCCACAGCAAACAGCTGAATCTCAGTAAAACTTCCACCTCACAGCACTTTCTCAAGAAGACAGGGAGTACTTTGCCCAGATAAGGCTGGCAGGATGAAGCACTAAAGTTACTTGCATGCTCTGTGTTTGGTAAATTCTTTTTACATCTGCTCTTCTTCCTTTTTTCAGGTCAGAAGACAGTTCCGATGAGCCAGAAGGACTGCTGGAAGGCTGTGCCTGTAATAATTTGTCACCTCCACGTTATGAGGAAATATACCCTCTGTCTTCATAAAATCATTATGGRCAAGGCACAACAATCCCACGACATGCCAGCAAGAATCCCCCCAAAAATCCTTTTTTTAAACACATGCATGGTAAGACAGTGTGAGTCAGACCTTGGTATTGCTTGGTACATGCTTCAGTATCACTGAAGACATTTAACTGATCATTTCATTTTTCTCTGTCAAAATTCATTAGCCCTTTGTGATGTAGCTTAATAGCAGAGCTATTAATTATTTAATAGCAACACCATTAATAGCAAAGCCCTTAAACTCAAGGATCTTACTCCATATTAGGATTCCCCAACAAGAAGCTTGATTGTCAGACTTGCTGAAACCAGCGTGAAYGGTGAATGCACAAGATGTTTGTGGAAGATCATGATTGCTCCTGGACACTCAGCATCTTTAGAAAACACTTGATTTTTTTCTTGGTATATTTTCATTCTTGATTCTTGGGAAACTTTGAAAGTGCTCAAGTGTCTGATCCATGAAAGTGCCTATTATGTCTTAATTTTGTTTGATTCTGTAGACTAGTTCACTCATTTATAAGTCCAGTCAACATATTAGACTTTCTCTACTTGTTTTACCTGTACAGCTCAGTTGTGTAGGCAACTGAGTCCTGTAGGCATTTTTTGGAGCATCCCGCTTGAAGCAGAGCATCTCATAWCAGAGAAAACAAATAGTGACTTCTGCCCACTCTTACATAGATCTCTAAGAAATCGTGTGTGCATCAAATTCGGTTCCCTTCCCACCTGATCGAAGGCAGAGCACAGTCTCCCACCAGGAGTCCTGATAACTATTAGGTTAATGTCACTAAAGAAAATGGCATTTTTCTGAAGCCTCAGCAGAGGTGTGTGATCCTACCACTGTTAAGGACTTTGACAATCACAGCTGCTGCATCCCCACTCTGGGAGGACTGTGSTGGAATGCCTCTGTGGTCCCTTCTTATTTGAATGTGGGTCTTTGGCACAGAACGCAGGCTGCAGATTGCCCCAAGTCTGTAGCACTTTCTTGCTCAAATGCTTTCTTGCTCTTGTTGCATGCATTGAACCCACAACAACTTGAGATTAGCTCATTTGATTACAGAATGGTGTTGCTGAACACCAAGATTGTGGGTTTGATCCCTGAATGGGCCATTCRCTTAAGAGCTGGACTTGGTCATCCTTGTGGCTCTCTTCCAATTAACAATAGTCGGTGATGCTGTGAAATGTATTTACAGATGTATTTAACAAAGGATGAGGTGTATAAGCACCGAAATGTTGCAATTCAGAATGAAGATCCAAAAAGCTTTGTTTGGGAGTTTTTTTAACCCCAGAGCAATGACAATGCTGTGACCCCTACATTTTCATTTTGTATTTCCACATATATTTCAAGTTCTACCTTTGAATGTGCCTAGAAGTGCCAGGACACAAGCTGGGCAAGCCATTATTTCCCTGTGATGATCCCATTAGGTTTGCCTGTCTCCCTCAGAGGACCCAAACCAAAAGCTGATCTCAGCTTCCACCTGCGGAGTGGGCACCATACAGAACACTCTAAAGGGCAATAGTCACTGTCCAAAGTAGCCAAGCCTGCAGGTCAGTCTCCCAGCCAGGCATAGCACAGCTAAAAGCAGGTGTCCATTATGGAATGCATCAACTTTCTCTTACTTGTCAATGCAGCTGTCTCTGCTCTTGCCAGATTTCATCCGTGACTGATCTCATTCCTGGGGGCTGGTCATGCTTGCCATTTGAGCACAGACTGTTGCACATGAACCTGATGTACCTGGCAGCTGGAAGTCTTTGAGTTTCTATACAGCTTTTCTAGCAATCAGGAGACATAGCTCTGTGTGGAGATGTTGAAGAACATTGTCCAGTTGCATGGAGCTGCAGGTGCACACCTCCCTGTCCTGTGTACGTAGAGGGTGCCAAGAAATAAAGCCTTTGGGGGGGGGGGGGCACAAAACAGTGCTCCACATGATGGACAAGACATGGACAGCTGGACTAGCAACTGCAGCAGCAGCTACTGAACAGTGATTGAAGACTTTGTGCAAGGTTTTTCTCATTAGAGAAATATGGGGCACTCTGTTTTTCAGCAGTGATGGCTTGGTGTTAGCAGGTAGGCACGTGTAGTTGCAGAAGGGGAGGCATGCTGTGTGCAGCATGTTCTCTATGGGATTGAGTGAGAGAACAGAAGATCTAAAAATAAATCCAAGTTTCTCTTATGGAAGTGTCTTGCTCCTTTTCTGGAATTCACACAGAGGTGAACTCATCCTCCCTCCACAGCAGGAAACTGGAAGGTCCCAAATCCCCAGTTAGTTCCACATGGACAGAGCCTTCCACTTAGCACGTAGTTCTGCTGACTCCAGCAAGCACTGCAGTAGCACAGAGGTCAGGCTTGATGGATCCAGTTGCAGGACTAGGGTCAAAATTTCCGCCCAGTCACCCTCCCCCACAACAAGAAAATTCCTTCAGTCAGACACCAAAGACTTTTCCTGCTGCTCTTCCTTCCTCCCTCACTCCCCCCCCCCCCCCCCCCCCCCCCAGCATAAGTTCCATGAGGTAATAATATCTTTATTTTTACAGCAAATCATACTGACAGAGTAAATATAAAAACCCAGAAGGTTGCACTGTGGACTCCGTGTTAATTTTAAAGTTTACTTCTATAGACACTATATTCTTTGATAATAATTGAAAGAGCCCTGGGTTTCTCTTTCCTTCTTTCTCTTTAAATATTAAGTTTAAATAGCTGAATATTAAAATTAGCTTGACCCATCAGATGAATTCTGCCTGAATTCTGTGGGAGTCCTTTCATGCTCAACAGATATTTGAGAAACTCCAGTGTGATGAAATTTCCTTGCCGTACTGATTGCTGATTATCAGTTTTAAGAACAGAGCCAACTTCTGTAAATGCTTTTTCTTCCTTCTCTTCCTTCTACCTTCTATTTCATCCTTTTTCTCTGTTTAACAGTCTTTTTAACCTCAGGGTTTGGTTAAGGGTGGTGGTGGTGGTTGTGTTTTCTTTTTTTTTTTTTTTTTGGGTTTTGGGTTTTTTTATATTTTGTTTCATGGTTTGTTTTTTACTATGATATAACCATCATATGAATTCACTTCATAGCATTAAGAATTCTTTCTGCCCTATGATGAGTGAAAGTACAAACATTTTTGRTCTTCAGCCACGGTGAACTGTCACTTCCCTTCTAGATTATACTGGTGTCATTCCACAAAGCACCTGGAAGATTGTATTTGAGATTTTGCTCAATCCTATTTTAATTTAGCTGGTGCTCTTTCCGCAAAATTGCATTCCCCCACTGTGCCTGCAATGCTAATGCAGACCTGCCGAATATTGTATTTTTAATACTTTAAGGTGGCTTGCATTCTAGTCATAGTGACAGAATGTTGTATATGAGTATTTTTGGCTATGTAACCCTGCATGGATTCTTGGGATTTTTTCCTAATATAACCCTTATTTGTAAGATTTTGATCATAAACTGGTTAACATATGAAATCAGTAGAGGCATGTCTAATGATATGAAACTGAGTATGATCTGTTCATTTCAGTAAAACCTCTGCACGGAGCTGCTCTAAGATCCAGGAGCTCTGTTTTCAAACACTAAATGCCACATGCTACAGGGTGTGAATTTCTCCTCAGATGAAATCCGAATCTTGCTTTTTAACACCAACGCTGTCGTGTCTGCGGGTCAGTACGGGAGTGCGCCAGGCACGGATCGGTTTGCTCTGCTTTAGCAGCTCTTTCCCACATCAGCCCAATTTCACCAGCGGTTCCCGTTCCTGGCACCGGAGTGATGCTCCCCAGCGCAGACCACGCACGGGCGGGGGCGCTGAAATCCTTCGAAGAGCTATTTTTAAACTGAATCGGGATTTAGGAAATCTGGGTCTCGGGGAAAAAAAATAAACCTGTAAGTAGGGCTCGTTCCTCTCCAGAGAGCCCTAGTGACGCACACGGCAGGGCTTCAGCCGGCGGTCCCTCCCCGCGGGGAGGATGCTGCAGCCTTCATCCCGCGTGGAGCCCGAGCCCCCGCTCCCAGGGGCCGTGTCCTAGCTGGACCAGGGCCGAGGGGTCCCCCCGGGCCGGAGCGGTGTTTGCCCGGCTGTCCCATCGCTCCGGCAGCGCCAGAGGGCGCCGGGGCCGCCCGGGAGATGCTGTGCTGGAGAGCAGCTCCGGGGGCGCCGCYGGTCCCTCCTCTGCTCCTCCGCCCAGGCTAAAACTGTGCGGGCTCAAGGAGATCTCGGAAGGGTAGAGTCGGCATTTCGTAAGCGGCCCCTCGTTATGGCGTTTGAGCCGGGGAGCCGATGCTTTTGTCCTTTACTACGAGTACTAAAGATGCTGTTGAAAAGCATCCTGTGCTCTCTCACAACCGAGGGTGGACTTATTTGAGAAAAGAATACTGGTGGTGAAAGACCCGGGGAAATCGCCAAAGAATAGGGTAACCCTCCCCTCTCTCACAGCAGGGCTGCGAACTCTGTAGAATGTGGAAGGACTCCGGCTTGTGGGGAGACGCGACACAGCGCACTCACATGCACCCCCGTCTCCTCCTCACCGCTGTGACCTAATGGGACAAGCTTCTGTCTGCATGAAAGAGCAGGGGAGAGTCCAAGAGTCATTTGTGAAGAACTAGGGCGTGCTGTTTGCATACAGCACCTACCATAATCTGTGSCTGCTGCAAGTATCATTATTGGCTTCACTTTAGCTGTCAGGGTGAATAGACATCAACAGGACGTGTTGAACGTCGCTGTTGCTGCTCCTTCCCCAGTGTGAATCAGTGTGTCTGCCAGAGAAGCACACAGCAGAGCCAGGTGGGATCTCATGGGCTGTGTCTGCGTTAGCTAAGCAGCTCTGCTCAGCGGGAGCGGGTCTGAAAGGGAAAGAGCAGGTGCWCAGAACTCAGTGACAACATGCACTGCGGACTGGAGAGGTTTATATCAGACTTACTCCTATGGATTGGATGCTAATTATCACTCGATACACACGTTGTTCTCCTGTGGTGTTATTTTCTGGCCCAGCTTCATCCAGTAGAAACTACTCATCTCACACCTGTGATRTGGTGTGATGAAAAGCCTCACAGGGCAGGTGAGGAGTGTAGGGAGGGTCTCTTCAAAAGCACTTGGTTTAGAGGCACTTGTCGCCCTGCAGACRTGGGATGACTTGCAGCAGCTGCAGGATTTCCATGTGGTAGAGCAGAAGCTTCTCTCAGCTTCCTGACAGCAGTGAGTTCATGGGAGAGCCTTTCCTTGTACTGATGAGGTTACTTGCAGAGATCTCACAGCATAGTGTCAACACCTCCAAAGGTACATGCAGTCTAATCATGAGATGCAACAGGCTTGCGCCTTCCTGAAAGATAATTGCAAAGTGATGAGGAAGTTTTCCCCCAGGGAACAGGAAAAATTAGTCCCTAGCTCTTGTGATCTCGCACCTCATTCCTTATGTGATAACAGCACAGGGTCAAGGGTAAATCAGTAATGGATGATTGTTTGTATCTGTGTCGTGTGTGGCATCTCTAATGAGTAATTGATTATATCTATACACGCAATTTAGCAAACACTATGGGATGTGCTGTAGCAGAGTAACTGGTGTACTTATTTTATAAAAATCTAGGATGAG